TATTATTTTGCTTTGTTTTCTCTCGCCCGGCGTTCGCTTTCTCAGCTGCGTACACAGAAAAAAATATTATACTCCTTTTGAATTATTAAAAAGGGTCTTATATATAATTATTAAAAGCTTACATTTATAGTTTGTGTTCCAGTAGTATATTTTTAGGCAAACCAATAGCCAAATTGATAAAATTAGACAAGTATTCTATTAAAAACGTTTACTATTACAAAGAGGTTTAAGGACCTGTACAACATAGTTAATTTAAGAAGTTTTTTATATTTAAGACTTAAGAGCCATTGAAATAGAATTCTAATAGCATGCTTTTCCGAGTTTTCCATTAATTTGAAATTAAATACATTCTATGTCCTTTTTTCATCTAAAAGTATGGATATTTTAGGTATATAACCCTCAGATATTAAATAAAAAATACAATTTATTTTAAGTGTAGTTCTCCGATGTGTGTTTTTCATAACAACCTCCCCCCTTTTTTTGCGGATAGGTTCATCTCGGTTTCTGCTGATTTTTTTGCTATTGTTGGCTTTTGGTTTTATTTATAGTTAGTTTGGTTTTAACGCTCGCTTGTTTAGCCTGCTTGGGTTGCCTCGGCCCTGGCCCCTTACCCTTCCCCGGGCGTTGCATTTCTGATGATGCCTGCAAGCTTAAAATCGTCATAAATGCATGGTTACCCACACACAGCCACAACCACACACACCACACACACTGATAACAAAACAAACACAGACGTCGCGAGGGCAATTGCATCGACGAGGGCTGCTCGACGAGTTCCCGGCTTTCGAGACGCGTATCTCAAGGATCTCGATCTCGAGTATCTCAATCTGTGGGTAATCTGGTGTAATCTGCCGGAACTTTTCCATCCACCCCCCATCTGCCCTGTCCCATTCATGTGGATCCAAATGCAGGCGGGTTTATGTGTTTTAGTTTTTATTTTCGTCATATTCGAGTGGCGTTTGTGTGGTGGCTGCTTTTTCTGCAGTTTTTTCTTCTTTACTTCTACCCCCCCAGAGCCCCTAATAAAAACATATATATTTTTTGCAGTGCCAGGTTTTTGTTGCGGTTTTCACGTGTTGCTATTCTGCAAGTTTTTTCTTGGCAATTTGCTCTTGTTTTTGTTGCGACTTCTGCGGCCAGAGCCATGAATAAGCAGCATCAACGAAACCGAAAATGAAAATAGAATAAAAGAAAAACATAAACAAAGCCCACTACTGGCTGCACCACCCACCCACCAGTTGCCAAACTGCCCCCTGCCCCTTGCCTGCTGGCGATTCGTGTGCTAATAATTCAGCATTTGTTTCCATTTTTTCCCCCATCTGGAGTGACTTTTTTGTGGCTCTGTGTTGCGCTTGTTTTTTGTTTGTTTCTGCCTCTGCCACTTGTTTTTTTTCCGTGCATATTTGTATTCTACACACTTTTTGCCCTTGCCGGGGCCGGGGTTTAGTTTTCCAGCTCAAACATTGTAAATTATTTGCTGGTAGCGGCTCACATAAATATAGATACAATTTATCAAATCGGATGAGTTAGAGCTTAGCCGGGCTCTGTTTATTTATCTTTTGTAGGTCTTTTTTCCTGATTTTTTGTTTGTTTGTAGTTTTATTTACAGCATCGGCTCGTTTATCAAAGATTGAGCCTCAGATGGGGACATCATCACTTAATAATATTGACACTTCTTTTCAGCCAGCCGGCCGCCACACAAAGCCCAGCCTCCGTAGAGCGGAGATAGAATTTCAAAAGGCGATTACGAGCCGAAAACGATGGTTCAGTTTGGGATACACACAGCGCACAGATACTCCGATACAACAGATACAGATATACAATCAGAAAATTAAGTGATTATGCTAACCGGTTCGATCTTTTTTCGTTTTGTTGCCTCGGTTTTGCCATTCGCTCGTTCGGGCACCAAAACAGAAATTTACATCAAAATTAACTTGTTATGTGGCCAGCAGAAAGCTGAAGCTGAAAAAAGGCCGAAACTGGGCTCCGAGCTGACAGCCTCTTAAGATCCCTCCAGCTCCAGTGGCCAGCTCGTCTCACAGCCAATCTTGTATAATTTCGAAATTAGAGCTCATCACCAGCCCATATCAAAGTCGTTCTTGGCGTCGGCGTAGTCTTTCATAAGTATCTTGGGGATATAGAAAAGAATGAGATGCCAGCACCTTCAGATTTCAGTTCTATACCAAACTATAGATAGGAGAAATTTGCATTAGATAGACTCCATAAATTGTATCTAACTATGCCGCTCATTAAAGGAGCTCCAAAAGAACATAAAATTTAGATTTTTGATATCTTAATTTGGCTTGATTATTTCGATAACACATAATTGGCAATGATGGCCAAATTCAGATGCATATTCCAAGTCTTATCTTAACCAAGTTTTATAGTCTATATTATAAATTCAAATCTTGAATAGTAAAACTCACACTCTTTCTAATTAGCCAGTCAGGCAGGGGGATATGCCGAAATGGATTCTTCAAATTAACCCAAAATCCAATTGAGCAAATATCTTGATTCAATTTAAGAAAGTTTCCTGCTTTTGGCCCTAGTCTTAAGTAATAGTTCCCAAGAAGCACGTGTAATTAACCCAAGAGAAGCTCGAGACTAACTGCTTGGCATAACTTTTGGGCAAATTATATTACGCATACGCCGGGTGGGCTGTGTGAATTGTGTGGCTTGGGCGGGAGAGGGAAAAGTTTCAATTAAGTGGCAAAGTTCAATTCCCCGACAGCCTCTGTCTGCCGTGCTTATATATGAATTATAATATAAATGAGCAAACTCAGCTGAATCTATCATCATAATGGCTGCTAGATAATACAGGAATCGCCATGGAAATCTCTAATTAAAGCCTTGACAATAGTTGACGACGGAGCTGGGCCTGGGCGGCGGGCAGACATCAAGATCTGGGCAAACAAAGGTGTCTGGGCCTGGGATGATGGCTGTCTGGCCTGGTCTGGTGTCGCCTGCTCTAGGGGGAGTGTCCCCCTCGCGCCAGAGTCAACGATATCACCCTCGTCCAGGCTTATTTCATTCATGGGCTGTGTGGCATGTTTTTGTTTTGAAATTTTTTTTAGGACCTACACACATGCGAGGGAATAAGTGTGGTTGGTATGCAAAAAAATAGAAGGGTTGCTAACAGAACCCACACAGAATCTGGGATCTCTCTGCAGGGGGAAAATGCTGGCAGACGAGGGTCTCAAGTTCAAGTGCAGTTCTCCATCTTGGGCTTCCTTCCGCTGTCTAGACTTCCAGACACAGACACTGAGCCAGACTCGCAGGGTTCAAGCAGTCGGCCAAGACAATCGGCCGGCGATTTGAATAAACATTAGAACAACCGGCCGGAGAATGAACGAAACATGAAAGCCACATTTGTTTATGCCACGGCCCGAAACAGTGCGAATTATAATGGCCGAGGGGTTCATGCCATAAATTAAAACACAGGCCGACAAAGACATCAGCGAGATGCTTATTCAAATTCGGGCTTCAGATTGGCCAGAACCGGGCCAAAATCGGCCGGGTACGTGTTGCAAATATGTTTTGAAAATCTAAAAATTTGTCGCACGGAAGTCGCCACGTACTCGGCGGTCGGAAAATGTTCGTGAGCTTAGGGCGCTGAGTCAAAAGTTAAGAACTATGGTAAGGGCAGCTGGTCTCTGAGAGGTGTGCCTCATCTCGACCTTGTGCTGATTTTTCTTGTGCTTGTTTTGGCCAGCTTGTGGTCTTGCTTTCTTTATTATGTTTATGCCTGTTGCAGCAAGCAACAAACATTGCATGACTCGGACACTCGAAAGTGGCGAAAACCACGAAACTAAAGTGTTATTTGGCTAGATTTTTGTGTGCGGAAAGCAAAGTTTGGCAAAGAAAAAGTTTGTCACTTGGGAGCTAGTTTTAGCACGTCTGAGCTAAGGGCTTTCAGAACTAAATATTCTCGACATGCCAGATAAACAATTATGGGAATAGTTGAGATAGACATTCTGAGGCATTCTCTGTTGGCTTGCAATTTATTACAGATTTGAAAACCTGTGCATTTCGAGATATTGGAATCTGAATATCTGTAGATAAAATGTAGAAAAAATTCTATAAGAGTATGTAAGAATTCTAGAAGAATAAATAGCGGTTGATAAATGCAATTGTTTATGAGATTACCCAATAGTATTGCCTAACAGATTGAAACTGATCTCTTAATGTTTTTAATATAAGAACTAGGTATTCTTTTTCAGCCATTAAAGTATTGACCCACAAGATCTGATTTTTCATTGCCAAGTGGCTTTTGTTTCGACCACAAATAGAGCAACTAACGTCAATGTAAATCACCCGCGAAGATTTCCGCTCGTTATATTACAACATTACAGAGCAAATGTCGGTGGCTGCGATAAAAAAAAGGCCAAAGAAAATAAACAACTGGGCCATTAAATCACGCCCTTGTAAAGCGGCCTAATGTGTGCGCAGTCATCCTCATTTCGGCCTAGTTAATAATACATTAAGCCAACATCACACACTCATCGCTGGTCCAATGCCAATACGCTAGTTACGAACCATGTAAAACGCCAGTTGAATTGTCAATTTATACAAAATTGTCAACAATTAACATTTAACACACAAAACAGCGAGCGCGGAGGAAGTGGAGCGATTTGAGCCACTCAGATAAGGCCAAAACGCTGTCAACTGTCAAATTTAATCATACTATAAAAAGCTGGCTATAAACGCCAGCTCCAGCTCCAGCTACATGATACAAGATACACGAGATGCAAACAAAACAAAGGAAAGCCAAACGGCAAACAATTTCAAAGCGAGTGACTGACATTATTTTGGCATGTTTGGAAGTTTATGGCCAACGCATGTCTGAGTTTCTCTTTCGCTGTCGGTCAGTGTCACAGCCGTGTGAATTTTGTCCTCAAACTGCTTTTATTTAAACTTTGTTATTCTCAATATTTTTGGCAAAAAAGTTATGCGACAAAGCGCTTTCCTGCTAGAGGGGCTAATTATACGCCGGCACCTACCTTTCTCGCTAGTTAGTCTATTGCAAATGGTGGCAGCCAACTTCCGCTTCCTGTGTCCGTCCGCCAGAAAAGTATCCAATTAGAATTTTTCAGTCAGCTGCGCAGGCGTCACTGCGAAAAGCCGGAAAATTATGGGAGAACTGCGGTCCCGAAACAAATGCGAACTATCGCCACAACTTTTTCATCCGCTTCTGTGATTTTCAATTTTACAATTTTTTAATTTTCATCTGCAATCTGCAGCTTGCACTTGCTGTGAATATTTCATTCAACGACAATTACTGGCAGATGGATTTTAATATTTAATCTACTCCTATTTAATATTTATTTACTCTATTTGTTGCTGTTGCTGTTCACACACCGCACACAACATTTCTCTTTGGCACTCGATGTATAGAATATTAAATGGGTTTTAAAATAAATATTTCAAATCTATGATATCCTATATATTAAATCCGGTAAATGCAGGCACTTTAGAGCACGATATTGGTATACATTCTTATTATTTGCACACACTCTAACAATTTTGTTTTATAGAATAAAAAGTATTCCCGATGGACTAAAAAATTGCAGTTCACTTCTTAATGCAGACGACCGCGGAAATTCGTTGTCCTGTTCGAGAAACGAGTTTGAAATCGCGAGCGATTTTTACGCGACTTGCTTGCGTCTGGCGAGCGACTCTGCGTTGTTAACCCAAAGGCAGCCGAGCGACGACTGCGCTGCCGGAAGACTGCTGCCCCGGCTTTGGCTCCAGAGTCTGAAGCCGCGTTCGTTGAAGGATGGATTCGTATCAGCATCCGATATTGAGTTGAACCGGCACTTGTTGATTATAATTTTATTTTTTTAATAAAAAAAATATTATTTTTATTTGTCAGTAATATTAATTACTATGGTATTTTATTGGTTTTTATGTTGTAGATACTTTTTATTTGGCCCAGGAACTATATTTGAAATTGTACCTCTTCCCATAATAGTATTAAATGTATTTCTTTAATATAAAACCAAACAAAATCTATAAAAAATAAACAATAATTAATTAAAATTAGCTAAAAATTACAAGTTGAGTGAGTTTCCGAGTTCCAATTGGACTCTCAACATGTTCCTTCACCACCATGTTCCACTTCCTCTGCGTTGAGAGCGAGAGAGCAAGCGTCGCGACAGCGCTGTCGACGTCGACGCAAGCAGCATCAACATATTTGTTCCATTTCCATAATTTCCTCTCTTTCATTCCGTTCCACTCCACTCGGTGAAAAACCGGCTTGCGCAGTTTGAGTGACAGTCGAGTTGAGTGGATTGCAGAACAGGTTTCGTTTGAGTGACTTTCGAGTTAATTACTCAATTATGCTGCTCTACCCCGAAATAGTTTGATATGTGAGCGTTGTTTGTGTGTTACCGAGAGAGCTATGCAATTTAGTGGCTGTATTTTTTAAATTTATTGTTTTTTATCGGCCAGAGGTAGATGGTTCACAGGTAGATGGCAATTGAGATTTTTCATTCTTTTACAATGTTTTGGCGCTGGATTTATGACTGGAATCGAGGCTGAGGCGTCAATTTGATGAGCGTGTGAAGTGCTGGGATAGATACGGATACACCGGCTGGACCCATCGGGCAGGTGGACTCTAATTAGGCTGTGTTACAGATGACCTCCAGTCAACCTTAAACAAGCCAGTTGCACACTTTAAAAAAATGGAGGTTTTTAAAAATATAATAAGGTTCTTTAAAAATATTTTTACTTTTAAGTAAGGCATAAAAAAAGAGTTCTTGATTGTTAAAAACACTTTTTAAATCTAAGACCTTCTCATTTATCGTGGTTGGATTTGGTTGTACGAAATAGGTTTATGAGAGCTATAAGCTATTATATTAGCTTTAGAAGACCTATTATGCGTATTTGTAGTTCTTAGCTATATTATAACAATTTAAAATGTAAAAATATTAAATGGAAACCCACTCATCAATAAGATTATGTGTGTTACTTAATTTTCAAGGAACTTTTAGGGAGCAACTATTAGGGAGGATATTACCAGGGCCGTAGCTAGCATGGGGCAGGTGGGGCGGTGCCCCAGGGCCCCCGAAGGGAAGGGGCCCCGCCGGGGCAGAAGACTTCCGTATAGGGGGCCCCAAATTTAATTGTTGCCCCAGGGCCCCCGAGGCTCTAGCTACGGCCCTGGGGCCCTGGATATTACTATATATTAATTGCAACAAAGATTAATGCGGTATAGTTGATATAATAATATGATATTCCTATATGTACATATGTAGAGGTGATATTCTAACTTTGCTTTAAAAACCATGTAATGTATATTTATTATTTTGTGTGTAATATTACATACCTTCCTTGAACAGATTTCCCCCACAGAAAAAGTACAATCTTTACATGGCGAGTTGAGCATTAAGATTCATAAATATTTATGTGACGAACTGGAGTCCCAGCCATTCCAGGAAACTCTCCACTCTGGAGCTCCTTTTGGTAATTTAGTGTTTCTACTCAAATTCTTTCACTTTGCAATTTGCCTCGGTGCTCTTACCGGGTCTAAGCGAAGCTGGCCAACTACAGCAGACTCCCAAAAGAAAAAAAAGAAAACCAAAAGCACCGAAGAGCAAACACATTTATGCGAACCAACGTGGATGGCAGCGCACTTCAAGAAGATGCCGCAAAGTGGCTCTGAGCGGGGATGGATCTGTGACAAGTGTCTTTCATTAGCATAAGTAAATCTCCTCGAAATCCTCAAATTTATTTGTCAACACTTGACAATTTCATTGTTGACGTCTCCGAAGGCGCAGCTGTAAACGAGTTGGATGCCAGAAGGAAAAGCAAAAGCCAGAGTCAGAGTCAGAGCCAGAGCCAACAGCAAATCATGATTTGTGTCTTGCATGTCAGTTTGGCATAGCCAAGCCTCCAACAAGTCGGTGCTATTGGTGGCAACACCAGGCCAAGACAATGCAAATGGTCAAGAGGGGCGATGTAGATGTGATGCTTGAACTTCCATCTCCGGCTTAAATCAAAGACAAATATTTAACAACAAATGGACAGCAGTGGCTCACTTTTTATGTCCCTTTGGCTCAGGCCCCTGCCCGATGGAAAGCATTGAAATTTCTTTGATTTTTACAACCCGACAGAAAAGAAAGGCCTTGATTGTTCAGGCCTCTTGCCATCGTTTTTTTGCCAGCCATCCTGCCTCCGAGTGCACTTTATGGCCATGTGATGTACAATTTTTAATGTCATATTTTTATGGCCATGCCAAAGTTTTCCATTAAGCCATTAATTTATGCATATACCCGATCAAATCGTATAAAACTAATTGCGAAAATTGCATTACTTGTGAGATACTTTTCAAAAAGTTAATAATATATTTGGGGAGTATTTTCCCATTCGTAGCTAGCCAAGGTCAACTGCCCCACTGGCCTCCTAAGGAACTAAACAACACCAAGCTGGAAGCCAAAACTAAACCTCTGACTAAGCGCGGACTTTCCTCCTTATCGGGCTTATCGCCCAGTGTCAGTGTCTTTAGGAAAGTCTGGGCTCTGCGGCTTCGCGCCAGAGCTGTCTCGGTCGTCATCGTCGACTTGGCGGCATTATGGCCAACACTTCATTACCAACAAAGCCATCGCCATTCATTACCAGCTGCCTGGCTGGCCAGCAAGCTTTTGACACCAGCAAGGTTCTGCTGTCGCCGCAGTAAAAGTTGGCAACGGTTTCCAGGTCTCGTGGCGGGTCCGAGGTCCCAGGTCCGAGCGGGCGCATAATGCCAACGTAATCTCAAATTACTGCAAATTTTCGCTGCTCACCTCTTATGCGCTTATTTATTTTATTGTGCATTTCCACAGCACTTTTTGTGCCATCTGCATTTCGATTCCCATCGAAGAGCCCAACTCGCTCAGCCCGGCTCGACTGGTTGCTGGGTTTGCTGTAATCTTCTATTATTTTGATTGTTGGCCATTTTTATTGTTGTGTCAATAATCTGCCTTTATGCTGCTACCAATAACCACCGTTGGCCGGGCAGGCAGAAGCGCGTTTCCGCAATTTCCAGGCGCCTGTGGCAGCGACGACAGGTGCACAAATGGTCCGAAGAATGGGCGTTTGATGGAGCCCCCCTTTTTCTGCACCACCTAATGCCAAAGCGATGTATTTAATGATTTGTTTAACTCGCTGAAAAAAACGCGAGGGGAAGTGCCCATCCAGGCTGCGGGCAAGTGCCGTTGAAGCGAGTTTATCACCGCGATAAGCATATAAATAATGAAGGTTTCTTCCAGCCACAAAAGCGCTGGATGAGTTGGCAAAGTTTTCCGGTTGCACGGCAAGAATAGCCAGTCGATCAGGTCTTGACCAAATCAAACATATAAAACCGAGCCCTCAGTCTTTTTTCTCAGTGAATCATATTTGTGGCTTTCACTGTTTAACACGATTTAAAGGAATTTCTGAAAAGAGGAAACTCTGGTCCTTAAGCCCCATGCCACTTGTGATTTGTTTAAATGCCCCTTCTTCTAATGCCCCATTTTTAGCCACCTATTTGCACCTGTTCCGTTGCATTTGGCTTAAGCTATCCAAGCCAAATTAGGACTTGTGACAATTGCTATACATACATCATCATACAGCACTTTAATTGTGCCTGGCACTCAATCTTTCAATCACGCCAGCCACTCGCCGGGCGGCGTCGGGCCAGCCAGGAGGGGAACCGGGAAAATATGTGGATTACATCGCGGCTGACTGGACAAGAAAAGGCGCTGGGGAAGGAGGAGCATCCTAGGATGGCAGGCAATATAATCTATATAATCATAAGAGTGTACCATGTTGTAACATGCCTCCCCCCGCCCGACTCCCAGGAAACCTTACGCATTTGCGACATGTTGTCAACTCGAATTGCGTTCGACTGATTGAAGGCAGCCAGCCAGGCAGGGCCCAGCCTATCCTCTCCTATTCCATCAGATCCTATAAAAACTAAAGCCATTCTACAGAGAAAGAAATTGTTAATAGTACGAGTTCTAATAAAGTAAATTTTAAATATATAATCGGTCAAAATTTAGTGGTGCTAAGTATATTTCTACTATTTGTTTCTAGCCTATCGATGTTTCAAAAGATCGATGAATTTTTAGAGTGGAAACCTACTCCATCGCTCAGCCATGAATAGCGACAAGTTGATGGCCAAAGCCGGAGCCAAAACCAAAGTCAAAGCCGCTGCCAAAGTCAAGCTACAAAGTAGGCAAGTGGCCAAGCATCGACTCCCAAAGAACTCTTCTCAACCAGACAGGTTTGTCGCCTGTCGCCAGTCGAGACATCGGCCCGGACTCCGGAGATGGGAAAGGAATAATTCTGGAGCTGGGGCTGCAGATTTTTCTTAGTTGGAGTTGGAGCTGAATCCGACTGGAGATGTCTTAGCCGGCCGAAGAGGATTCCTCGTTTTTGGGTAGGCGTCGCACAGATTGATCAACAGACCAGGACGTTTGTCTAAGACTTGGCCTGCCTTGTTTACGTTTTAGGGTTTGAACAGTCATGGATGAGTCAAGGTGGTCACAGGATGGGATTCGGTCATGGGCCCATTTTTAGGAGATTTTATTGGGCACGGGTTCTTAAAGAGATCTAATTTAAGTCTTCTTGGGTAGTAAATTAAACTAACTAGACCAAACTAAATAGAGTTTTTTACTATTAAATATTAAGATTACAAAAGATTTTTTTAAATATTTGGTTTTTTGGTAAGGGACTTTGGGA